AAGAAGAAGAAGAAGAGGGTGATGGGAATGGCAGAGTGGTTTGCATGTTTATGTGAATAGCAGTATTTGAACACTGACAATAGAGGCTTATTTTGATTTTAAGTTGAGGTTGAATCGGGCTCTTATTGCCGTGTGGTCTTTCAATGTAAATATATCAGACGGCAATCGTTGTTAGGGGGTAAAAGGCAAGACAGAAGCGCAAATGTCAAACTTGCAAAAGAAACCGTGCGGGAAAGTGTCTGAAATGTTATATATTTTGATGCCAAAGCACAGTGCGGAAATCATGTTTTTGTTTACATTTCCAAAAGCGCCTTCTGCGGTGTGTTTCTTACAACCAAAGTCTACAAAGGCGGCGTCATATTTTTCAGCACGGGTAAGTTTTGCAAAAAAATCTATGCAACTCCTTTTCAAGCCGTGTATATTTTTTATGGTTGTCGTTTTTAGTTCCTGTTTTATTTTGTAATTGTCTTTTACTTCCTGTTCTGTTGCCTGCCCCGCCCTGATGTGTTGTACCTGTGTCTCCCAGTTAAAGTCCCTGTGCTCTTTCCTTCTTGTTCGTGTCGTTGTCTGCAGTTTTTACACTCAGTTTAATTACTTTAGTTGGATTCTTGTTTATTAAATTATTATATTTTTGCAGTCTTGAATTCTGGGCCCTTCCTCCTTTCCACCACGTAACATGTAAGCTTGAAACAATACATTCATTGTTTGTATTATGATTTTGACACTGGATTGATGCAAATATTGAAAGCAAATATATATCTTTTTTTGTGTTTGCCTCTAAAGTGTGCTTTGAATATACATCATCGAGCATAGGACCATGTGGATAAAAGGTAGATTGTGGAAACACATTCAAATACCCGACATCGCCTCTAAATGCGTCCATGGTAAAGGCACTCTTTGTTCAGTGCAGCCGTCACTGATGGTTCCATTCAACCCTTGGTATTTCTTTTGGCCTTGTCTCCGTGAGCGCGTTCACGTCAGGGTGAGACTGAGCGGCGGCGGTGATCAATGGCCTCGGTAAAAAAATAAAACAACAAGCAGAGAGAGAGAGACGTGAACCTGGAGCAGACACGGGCGACATGCATGGGCACACACAAGCACATCTGACTCCGACTGAATTACACGGGAACAAGGTGTAGTCACGGTGGAAATAAGGGCCCTTTTCAATTAGACCGACGCTGAGTTTATTACTCCTAATGTCTTCCCGCAGTTTTGTGTCTTTTGGAGTGGATTATGCGTTATTATTTATCATTTTCCTCTCTTTAAAAAGCTATTTCTACAAGATTCCGGTTCACCTGCCCCCCCGTTCACCTCCACGATTCAGAACTAGCTGTATAGGAACCAACTCTGACCCTATAAATATGATAGCTTTGCACCTTTTTTTACCCGAGAATGTCTCTTGTTAGCTATGTCCACCTCTGCAGCTGTGACCCGTCCTGCTCCACCCAGAGGCTACTCCACCTCTGCTGCTGTGACCCGTCCTGCTCCACCCAGAGGCTACTCCACCTCTGCTGCTCTGACCCGTCCTGCTCCACCCAGAGGCTACTCCACCTCTGCTGCTGTGACCCGTCCTGCTCCACCCAGAGGCTACTCCACCTTGTGACCCGTCCTGCTCCACCCAGAGGCTACTCCACCTCTGCTGCTGTGACCTGAAGGGCTGTTGCTGATTATTACTATTGTTAGCTTTTTTAGAATGATCAATTTTATTTTTTATTTTTGCTGCTACTGGACACCTGAATTTCTCCGACGGGGATCAATAAAGTATCTATCTATCTATATCCCTAGCGTTTGAACTGACCATCTTAGTAGCTTCTTACCTCACCGCTAATCAATCTGGACCCTGTCAAAACCCAGAGAAGCCCGGACTAAGATGTGAAATTCTGTTACAAGACGGTCCAAATGACTCCATCTTTAGAGCGGTGCAGAGAAAGGCCAGAAATGTGAGGAGACGGGGAGACGAGGAGCGAGGGGATGGGAGATGAAAATGTGTGTCAAACTGTCTGCAGAGGAGAACACTGCTTTTATCTCAGAGGGAGGGCAAGGCAAGGTGACACCAAAACAACGCACAATGTCAACCAGATGCTCCGGTGTACAGTAGTTTCATGTCCCGACCGTAAACATAGCATCTGTGTGAAATACTCGTTACTCCACACCGTTTCTGTCGCTCTGTTCTTACGCCTAATAAGCCTGAGGTTTTATAGACTTTTTTTTTTTACCCTCAACATCATTTTTTTCTGCGCCTTTTGATGCACTAAGGATTAAGTATCAGCAAAAATGAGACAAGTTTATAAAAGCCATAGACTGCATTGAATAGGGACTTTTATTCAATGTGATTTCAGTAAAAACGAAAGGCTTTTGGCCCAGGCCTTATCAACAATTTAACAAAAATACAGCACTATAGATTACTGACTATTGATGATTTCATGTATTGATTTTTATTCATTCCAATAAATATAAATGGAAAAAAATGATGAAAGAATCGGGAAAATGTTAATGATTGTATTCTATAATTATATAGATAATGTATTGCTAATATTAAATTATATTACTAAATTAAAGGTCATGATTGTATCCCATTTAAAAAGATAGATTATGATAAAAAAAACTAATGTTCAGGTCCCCCCCGGTTTTGAATACAGAAGATTTCATGATTCAGAAAGTATGGGCTCTGTACTTTGTCATACATTGCTTGTCTTTTAAAAACTTGTAACATTTTGCTTTTGTGTGTCCCATATCTAGGATGGCATCAGCTAATAAGAATCCATATTCATTCACAATCTCGACACTAAACAGGAAGCAAGGTGAAGCAGCTCCACGTTAATGCAACCCTCAAGGAGCCTAAAAGAAATCGATAATCAAGATGAATGCGGTCCGTTAATGTCAGTTCTTTCGGCACTTTGTTTCTGCTGAGGGAAAGATCAGGACCAAGGGCAGCTCCGAGATCAGCACCCTGGACAGCGACACCAACTTCAAGGAACTTAGTGGGACTTTTATGATCTGCTCAGCTTTTTAGACAAAAAGTTTTGCTTGTCTAAATCTTTTACATACTGGGATGTGATTGGTTGAGAAAGCTAAAAAAAAAAGATCTTAAGATGTGACAGAGGCCAAAAATACATACGTACATGTAGAAACTAGTGAGAGAGCCACAGACCGTTTTGAGAGTGAGGAACTAGTATCGCTAAGTTAATTTTTCAAAGTTAGGTTCCTCAACTTTAAGTCTGAAGCAGGATTCTGTACAGGTCAGAAAGTTTACGCAAATTTAAGTTTACTTTTTGGGTATATTCTCACGCAAGAATTATTTATTTTTTGCCTGGTGCTTTAACAAGAAAAACAGCATATGGCGCTCATTGAAAAGCATAACTGTGCACACGCCCTCTGGAGAGTTCCTATTATGATATATAATGATATCGCCCACAGCCATCAATAAAAGTGCAATTATAAATAACTCTTGGAAGACATCCCGCCGAACGCACCTTTGAGACTCATCATTAGCGGAATCATTTGGCGTGAAAACTGTAATCTAAAGACGCCATTTGTAAAAACCTGAGCGCAATGGGGGGAGATTCATCCAAACATTTGTGACAGCTCGACGCCCGCGGATAAAAACTCAGATGTATCCTGCTTCTCCCTCGACGAGAACCGGTCTAAAGCTCCTTACTGCGGGAGAAGTGGGAGTTAACTAGAGATCCAAGCAGCAGGAGGTGCAGCAGGAGGTGTAGCAGGAGGTGTAGCAGGAGGTGTAGCAGGAGGAGCAGCAGGCTGAAGGAAGCAGGAGAGTGGGATCATGTGCTAATTTTCCCTATTTTTTTAAACCGTATTTACAAATATTCACACAAAATAATTGAATAATAATAAATAAATAAAATACTCATGGCAATAAGGACAACAACAAAAGCAAAAAATAAATGTACGGTATTTCTTGTGAGTTGGAATTTATTTACACGTTTAAACTGTAAAACAACACAATGGTTTCTGAACATTGTAAAGCGCTTTGAGTGACCCTGTTCTGTAAAATGCCACTAAGTTTACAAAGTGTGTAGATAGAGATAAGAGACGGCTGCGTTTTCACTCGTCGTTCAAATGGCGTTTAAATGATGTATAACATGCCATAGTAGCCCATTGTAGCCTTTAAATAAGCAGCTCGGGCATGAGTTCAAGTCCAACGTAGAGTCAAGGAATCAGAGAGTGTTTGGGCCTGTGTCTTGACCAGGGTCCTGACCAAGTCCTGACTGAGTCTTGACCAAGTCCTGACCAAGTCCTGACCAAGTCCTGACCAAGTCCTGACCAAGTTCTGACCGTGTCCTGACCAAGTCCTGACCTAGTCCTGACCAAGTCCTGACCAAGTCCTGACCAAGTTCTGACCGAGTCCTGACCAAGTCCTGACCAGGTCCCAACAAGGTCCTAACAGTATCATGAGGTGAGATGAGAAAAGCCAAACCCAAAATGTAGGTTTGAAAACAACGTGAAGTTTAATCAAATAAATCCAAGATAATACCAAGCACAAAGTTCCAGAACTGAAAACAAGACGGGGACAGACATGGTATAGACTAGTGGTTCCCAAAGTGGGGGGCGCAGAGCAATAATTCAGTAGGCTAAATGACACTGCTAGCATAAGATGGACACACTTTGGACACATTACAATCTGCAGTTAGGTCTGAGGTTTATATTCATTACAATGTGTGAAAGAAACAGGAAGCAGACTACAAGAGAACAGATTTAAAGCAAAATAAAACCAGAGCCAAAATAGTTTAAAAGGGTCCTAACCAGGTCCTAACCAGGTCCTAACCTGGTCCTGACCGGGTCCTGAATCCAATAAATTTTCTCAACAAGGACAATATCTGTGACTTCTGTGAGCACAAACATGAGGCTGTGGATAAATGATTGCTCAAACTTCTCGCATGTGTATTCAGCCGCTGTTATGACAGTTTGAGTATGTTGTCTGGACTTGGAGAGGAGGATTGGACAAATGAGGTCCCGGGAGGAGTCCGCGGGAGCTGGTAATGGGCCTGAAATACTGCGCAACGGCCCAGACATTAGCTCGTTTGTTCTCTCGCTTTGTTCACACAGCGGATGATTGGGAAACATGTCATCGCACTGTAGGAGTCCGGCATGTCAGGAGTCCGGCGTGTCAAGAGTCCGGCGTGTCAAGAGTCCGGCGTGTCAGGAGTCCGGCGTGTCAGGAGTCCGGCGTGTCAGGAGTCCGGCGTGTCAGGAGTCCGGCGTGTCAGGAGTCCGGCGTGTCAAGAGTCCGGCGTGTCAGGAGTCCGGCGTGTCAGGAGTCCGGCGTGTCAGGAGTCCGGCGTGTCAGGAGTCCGGCGTGTCAGGAGTCCGGCGTGTCAGGAGTCCGGCGTGTCAGGAGTCCGGCGTGTCAGGAGTCCGGCGTGTCAGGAGTCCGGCGTGTCAGGAGTCCGGCGTGTCAGGAGTCCGGCGTGTCAGGAGTCCGGCGTGTCAGGAGTCCGGCGTGTCAGGAGTCCGGCGTGTCAGGAGTCCGGCGTGTCAGGAGTCCGGCGTGTCAGGAGTCCAGCGTGTCAGGAGTCCAGCGTGTCAGGAGTCGCGTGTCCGGCGTGTCAGGAGTCCGGCGTGTCAGGAGTCCGGCGTGTCAGGAGTCCGGTCAGGGTCGGCGTGTCAGGAGTCCGGCGTGTCAGGAGTCCGGCGTGTCAGGAGTCCGGCGTGTCAGGAGTCCGGCGTGTCAGGAGTCCGGCGTGTCAGGAGTCCAGCGTGTCAGGAGTCCAGCGTGTCAGGAGTCCAGCGTGTCAGGAGTGCAGCGTGTCAGGAGTCCGGCGTGTAAGGAGTCCGGCGTGTCAGGAGTCCGGCGTGTCAGGAGTCCGGCGTGTCAGGAGTCCAGCGTGTCAGGAGTGCAGCGTGTCAGGAGTCCGGCGTGTCAGGAGTCCGGCGTGCTAGGAGTCCAGCGTGTCAGGAGTGCAGCGTGTCAGGAGTCCAGCGTGTCAGGAGTCCAGCGTGTCAGGAGTCCGGCGTGTCAGGAGTCCGGCGTGTCAGGAGTCCAGCGTGTCAGGAGTGCAGCGTGTCAGGAGTGCAGCGTGTCAGGAGTCCAGCGTGTCAGGAGTGCAGCCCCATCGTGTCAGGAGTCCAGCGTGTCAGGAGTCCGGCGTGTCAGGAGTCCGGCGTGTCAGGAGTCCGGCGTGTCAGGAGTCCGGCGTGTCAGGAGTCCGGCAGGTCAGGAGTCCGGCATGTTAGGAGCCATTGTTGATTTTGTAAAAGCAGCGCCTACACACTGCTATTTTTGCACAAGGCTGTAATGTAAGTAAGAAGAAGGAGGAGGAGAAGAACAAGAACACGGAGAAGAAGGAGAAGGAGAAAGAAGAAAAAGAGGAGAAGGAGAAAGAGAAGAAGAACACGGAGAAGAAAAATGAGAAGGAGAAGAAGAAGAGGAGAAGGAGAAGAGAAGGAGAAGAAGAAGAATGAGAAGAAAAAGGAGAAGAAGACTGGCAAATACATGTGGAGACTCGTGATAAAATCAAAAAGATTTGAGAGTTCTTATGGAGCAGGTTTGAACATTAAAAGTCAAAGTACAGATTGTTTAGAAGAACAATCACAGCATACGGTATGGCTCTCACTGGATACTGTTTGATGGTGAGATAAATGATAGAGTCAAATGAAGTATAACTAAATAACAACAGGTTATATAACTACAGTTTTCAGAGTTGCCTAAATGGTTAACCCCCTAATGTAGATTCAGATTCAGATTCAGTTTATTTGCCATTTGCAGTAAAAATTCACCAGTGTGCACAGACAAATACAGACATAAAACAGACAATGTAAACAAATTATTGAGAAAGAACATTTTGAAATCACTATTTCTCTTCCCAAGCTGTGCAGTGATTTAACAGCAAACACAGCCATTTTTCTGTACGATCACTTAGCTTTGTCGGAGAACAAAAGTGAGAATGAATTTAAAGTGTTGCAAAGTATCACAAACTTTTTCAAGTAAATGCTATATTGATGAAGATGAGCTCAACATTTGATAAGAACTGCTCAAGCTCTCTTCTTCACAGAATAAAATGCAGCGTAGTGCTCAGTGGGACTAAAAGACAATAAATAAGAAATAGCTCCTGCACATAAGTTCTTACGGGACACGAAACAGGAAAAGGTGAAGTCAAATATTTCATTTTTAGCATCAAATGTAATGGCCATAAAATAGACTACAATCTCTCCGATCTGCTTTGTTTTTAGTCCCAGTGCTGAAGCAACCTTTGCATTGTTCAATCTTGTCTCAGGCTGGAAGTAAATGGTGATTAGCTTCAAAATGTCATGTACTGTGTATGTCACATAGTAACGACATGAGAAACCGGTTCACTGCAAAAAGCGTTGAGAAATTAGTCAAAAATGGCAAAGAAATTGGCAAAATGCATCTTAATTCGAGCACATTTTGAATGCATTAAAACAAGATTTGCCAAAGGGACAAGAAAATGCAGTCTAATTAAAATTTTCACTTATTTTCTATTGTTTTGTGTGATGTATCTTCCTTGGAATGAGAAAATAAAGCAACAGTTCATCAAATCAGAGTAAATATTTACAGTCAAAATGTCAGTCGGTGTAGTTTTCAGTATGTATGCAAGACAGACCCACTCTGGGACACGGCCACTGGTCCGTCGACATATTTTCAACCTTTCCCAGTCGCGTCGGCCATGTTTGTGGTTGTTATGGCGTGCGACTGCCACGGCAACGGTCACGGACATTAAGCGCGGGGGGAATCGGGAGACCAAATCCAATCAGATCGGGTCATTACGGCGAGATAAGAGGAAGTGATGGAGAGCAGGGGAGACGTTCGCAGACTGGAAGTGACAAGAAGATAGGAATGACAAGTCAACGGCAAGGGCAATTAGGGCCCAACTTTCTCTTAGCGGGGGGCACGGGGCTAATGTAGTTGAGGGCTTCTTCGTTGTTCCCTATTGACTCAAAAAAGTGAAAGAACAAAAGTGGGAAATGGTGTATAGCTATAGCAGTAGATTATAAGAGTTCCCTGGGTCAAGCTATTGAAATATTCCATTCAATGTAATCTTGTATAGCCCTAAATCCCAACAGCAGTTATTTCAGAGGACTTTACAAAACCCTTGAAATCGTCAACACAAATCAGAGAATCAAACGGTTCCAACACAAAAAATATAGAACACATAGATATTGGTCCATAGTGAGTTCGACCAATGTCTATGAATTTTGATAAATGTCCATACATGTTGTAGAATGTTAGAATGTCCTGGATCATCACCACAGTCCTTCACTAACAGACTAAACTAAACAGACTCATCGGCGAGGACTCTATAACCCAGTGGGAGAAAAGTGATAAACTTTGGGGAGATCCACATTCAGAGAGAGGGATCGGCTACCACGGACGAACGGGCTGTAGATCCAGGACTTAAGCTATGCCGCGTAGCTTAACAGTATTCTTTGGCTCCACGCAGAAAAACTGACCCAAGTGAGGCATCCGACAACCACGACAGAGACACCACGGGAGAAGAAATCCACAAAACAAGGATTATGAGTCGTGGGCCGTAACACACACACACACACACACACACACACACACAGTAAACAATGTGGATAAAGTGTTTTGACAAAGGACACAGACGTCCCACTGTGGCACCCTGTTCTCCCACAGGACTCCCATCACAGTACTGACCAAGACCTGTCCTGCTGAGCTTTTGATTAAGCCTAGTCCATACCAGAGCTATTCAGGTTCAGATTCCTTTTTTATTTGCCATTTGCAGTAAAACCACAAAGGAATACATTTGCAAAAGTCCCTCGTGTGCACAAGACAAGTACATCAATATTCAACTATAGCCTTTGTGTAGACTAAAAACTTCTTGAATGATTTTTCTGGAGCTCATAAACTTTATACGCAAAACTATAAATACATTTGAAAAAAACATATAAAACGTTGTATAGTGCCCCTTTAACTGGACCAAGTCTGGTTCTCTTTAGGATGTTTCAAAAGATATAAACAGACTGGACTGGTGGACACATAGTCACCTGTTTTGTGTTTTAACATCCACAAATAAGACTTTTTGCCCATTGATAGTGAAATACTGCAGAACCAGCCACATTTAGTCTGCAGCTTGATTTTCTTCCAAAAGATAATGTACCACCACTTATTTGCAGAAACAACCCTGAAAGTAACAGAAAACCCGCTTTGAGAACATATTGTCATTGCTTCCTTGGCAAGAGAATTCGCCTGATCAGAACGGCTTCGGAACTAGCAGCTCTGAGAAAGTTATACCCGTCTGCGAATGATTTTGGCAAGTCCATTCAAACCCAGCCCCCCCCCCCCCCCCTTTAAAAAGACTGGAGAAGCAGGACTCAGAGAGGATATATTCAGCTGAGGAAAAAACCTCTGCTGCCAACTGGAACGGATCGCACCACGGACTGATCCGGAACACCAGCAGCGAGCTTCCCAACACGGCCATGTAAAATCTGGCACCAGGATGTACGAGTCAAACGGATATACTGTAAATATGTATAGAAAATGTGTGAAAAATTGCCTCTACAGCAAGTTTACACTGCAAAAAGTGATGAAAAATAAGCAAAATGTATCTTAATTTGAGCACTGCCTTAACCCGTTAATGTTCTCTCCTAGTTTTCTTTAAATATAGGCCTTTGGGGGACTTCAAATCACCACCTGTTCAAAACTGCCTATACTTAACTGTTTATTTTTAGCTTTTTTTCCCTCATTTTTCTTCTATAAAGCGTTTTTGAGTGTCCAAAAATTATTGTTATTATTATTTACCAAATGGTTGAGATGCAACTTTGTGGTAAATGCCTAAAGTGCTAAGTGCCTAAAACCAAGTGGGATGCCCCAAAGAGGTAGATTTCATAGTGACTCAAAATGTGATCTACCAAATGGATGAGGAAACCATTAAAGGGTTAAAACAAGATTTGCTAATAGGACAAGCAACCGTTCCTGGTTCCGTTTGGATTTGGATTTTTCATCTGCTTTTGGAAGAAAATTCAACAGTTTTTGAAATAAGACTAAAAATGGCTTTGTCCCTTTTGGCAAATTTTTAGGACACTCAGAATGTACTTAAATTCAGAGAAAAAACTTGATGTAAGCAATAATTACCTCATATTGACTCATTTTTGCAGTGTATACATATATATACAGTATAAAAGTATGACAAATTCTCTGTTGAAAATATAGCAGTAAAAAAGCACTTTATGGGTTGCCATGCATCAACAAATCAGTAAAAAAAGAAAGGAACTCCAATGCCCGCCTTGCCCTTCCCAGTCATACAGTATGTTTAATTCTAGACTATTCGGGCGTTCTGCTCTCCCAAAATTTCATCCACTGAGCGGCGCTGTGATAAAAAAATGACACCGTTTGTTGCCCAGTTCACTTCCGGTTGATTTCATACAATGGCGAATATGGCTCACGAAAACAACAAACGATTGACAGTGCCTGAATTGCGTGAAAGGTTGAAGCGAAAGGGTATTTGCAGTGTGGGAAAACGAAAGGAGGAATTGTTGTTGCTAGTTCAACGAGCGGATGGTGTTTATGAAGATTTAGAAGAAGATGACAGCGAGCAGAGTGAACGAAAACGGCTGTGTGTGCGAGTGACAGATGGTAACAATGAGAATGAAGTTCAGCTAAGAGGGAAGAATGTGAATTGGACGGATGATTTGCGCGATATGCCACTAGTTAGAGACGGGAATGTATTTGCATACAGAAAATGACGAAAACACTCAACCATTTAGAGAAAATGCGCCGGGCAGAGAGAACCGGAAGTTGCGAAGGCAAGTGTTACCCATAATGCAACGCAAAATTCAGTCGCTCCCCCGCCCATCGGATGGAATTTTGGGAGAGCAGAACGCCCGAATTGAGGCATGATTAGCGTAGCATATTGGTCTTCATGCATTAGCCCTGAATGTCACGTGACGTCAGAGCAATAATTGTACTTAGGGCTGTGCAGATGATGTGTCTGTGAAGTGGAGGGGCAGGGAGGCATGTGGAGGAGCCATATGTGAAATTAAATGTCATTAGAATAGCTGACAGCTGGTTGTGTGCGTTGTGGGCTGGTTGTGTGCGTTGTGGGAAAATATGTCTCTATAGCGATGCTGACGAAGCTATACACTGCAAAAAATGATCAAAAAGAAGGTAATAATCGCTTGAATCGAGTGGTTTTGTATCATATTTTGAGTACATTGTGACTGCCTTGAATTGTCGTTTAAAACAAGATTCTCCAATTTTGACTAATTTCTCATAACTTTTTGCAGTGATATTCAATTCAATTTCAATTCAATTCTTTTTATACAGCCCTAAACTCCCAACAGTAGCTATCTCGAAGGACTAGAGAATCAAACCGTTCAAAGAATGCAAGAAATGCACTTATAAAATTATAGAGCTGTTTGTCCATATGGAGCCGAGACCAATGTCCATAATTGTTGATAATCATCCATAAATGTGAGGAGGC